TTACGCATTTCCATTCCATTTATCATTAAATAAAGTGTATTTTTTCTTTGATTTATGCCATAAATTGGCATATTGTATATTTCTGACCAATATATCGATAATCGTCATATCGTGATAAAATCGTTATCGTGATATCGTTATCGTGATATCGTTATCGTGATATCGTTATCGTGATAATATTGTTATCGTGATAAAATCGTTATCGTGATAATATCGTTATCGTGATAATATCGTTATCGTGATAATATCGTTATCGTGAGCTGTGTATCGTATCGTATTGTGAGGTACCCTTAGGTTCCCACCCCGCCGGTAAACACATCCCATTGGTTCGTTGGAGATGAACGAATCCCGTCCGCTCCAAAATATTTGTTATTATTATTTGTAGACTGTCGACATCTGGCCAATTCCATTACTATTTGAAAACACATGATAGGATTTAGGGACGTTTTCCCACAATAATATATTCCCACAAATACACTGACTGCATCTTTAAGGTTAGGTTAAGGTTGAAAAAAATGATGAATCCATAACTTGAATTAGTAACTATTTAAATGATCGAAAAGTGAACTTCTCACAGTGTTACTGTTGTTATTCCACGGCAGTACTTCAGGTAAGCCTTATAATGACACAAGCCCAAGGCCGAGTGATAGGGACGCAACTCAGCAGAACTGCAGCTGATAAGAGCCGATAAGAGGCGTTCGCGACCCGTGTTTTCTGCTGTCACACGTTCCATACTCCACTCACCGCCGTCCTGTGCGCCGAGAACAAGAAGATGAGGACGATGAACATGCACACGCCACCGAACGAGATCAGCTGCTCCGGACGCTGGCTGGTGTCCACGGCCAACCACACCACCAGCAGCAGCACCACCACCGCGATGAAAACCCTGGGGAATCAAATCACACACACACAGAGACGTTACGCAAATTCTTTATTGATATATCGCTTCTAAATGTATTTGTATATTTATTTTTGTGGGTATTTCTCCTCTCACACCAGAGATGGGAGTGGGTCGCAGCACTTACTTTAATTATGAAATACTTTTAATTCATGAGAAAGTCCTGTTATGGAGACTTGGTTAGAATTTTCCATGAGATTTCTGGTTATGCTTTTGCTGCCTTTTCTACGTGCTTTTAGTGGCGCGGGAAACCAGAGAAAACGTACGCAGACACAGGCAGAACATGCAAACTCCACACAGAAAGGCAGCAATTGAATCCGACAATTCAATGGTTTTGGAAAGTCCTCTGAGAATTATGTTGAGCACTCTCACAATTTAGAAGAATGCTCAGTTGAAACAGGGAAAGAAAAGAACCAAAAAGGTGGGATAAACATCTTAACGCCTCATAAATGGAAAGAAATGTTTAGTTTTTGTGTGAATGCAAAAAATTCTTACACAGTACTTTATACTTGCCTCTTATTTTGCCAAATGTTAAACTTTTACACCTATTGTTATTTTCAATATAGAGATTGTAGACTTATTATTGATGCTAGAGTTAGATATGTTGTTTTATTTTAATTAGTACAGCTATTGCCGTTCTTTAACTTGTGATGCAACACTGACATTTCCCCACTGTGCGACAAATAAAGCATCTCTTAATTAATTCAGTTCCAATCGCCGGGTCTCCTTTACCATTTGATCCATTTGAGGTTGGACTGGAAGCAGGAGAGCACAGGGTCGAAGCACTGCCTGATGCTGTCTCCCTTGTACTCATGCAGAAGACCCAGGGCCTGAGTGACCACGGCCAGACACGTGAGAACCACCAGCGCCGTGGCCCTCTGGAAGTCCAGCACACACGCCGCTATGAAGTACGCCACATACCCTGCACCAGGAGGAACATCACACCGACATCACAAACTCTACAGACTGTACTGAACATGAATATTACCTGTGCCCAGTGCGCCCAGAAGGATGTATTTGAAGGTTTGAGAATGCGCCTTGATGTAATTCTCTGTGGCATTGATTGGCTTGGAGACTTGGCTGCAGAAGAGAGCAGTTAGTTATGTATGTTGTAATAACCTTTTGTTCAATAATACAGTTGTGTGTGTGCGTGTGTGTGTGTGTGTGTGAGAGTGTGTGTGTGTGTGTGTGTGCGTATGTGTGTGCGTGTGAGTGTGAGTGTGAGTGTGTGTGTGTGTGTGTGTGAGTGTGTGTGTGTGTGTGTGTGTGTGCGTGTGTGAGAGTGTGTGTGT